CAGGGCTGGTCCTGTGCAGTCGCCCGTTTTCCGGGGCAGGGAGCTGCAGACGTCGGGTGTTTGCTCAGGGCTGGCTGCGGGCTGCGGGGGGACCTGAGGGCAGCCCGGCCCTCCTCGTCCTGGAGGTGTCTGGCATCTCCTGGCTCCCAGCGTTGTGCCGGTGCTCCTTTTGTCTCCGTGCAGTACGGCCTCTATTCCTCCTTCATGGGCTGCTTTGTCTACTGCTTCCTGGGCACCGCCAAGGACGTGACGCTGGGTCCCACAGCCATCATGTCGCTGCTTGTCTCCTCTTACGCGTTCCACGAGCCCGTCTATGCCATCCTGCTCGCCTTCCTCTCTGGCTGCATCCAGCTGGCCATGGGGCTCCTGCACCTCGGTGAGATGCTCTTGCCACGCGTGGTTGTATCTTTAGGATATCGCCGTACATCCTGTAGTTGTTCCCACCCTCCCCTGTGCTCTCCGAGGCACTGGGATTGTCCTGCTAATGCTTGTGACAGCTCTGTGTGCACACGAACACGCTGTGCTCCAGTGTGCTTACTGCTACCCGTCCCGTGCAGGCTTCCTTCTGGACTTCATTTCCTGCCCAGTCATTAAAGGGTTTACATCGGCTGCTTCCATCACCATTACCTTCAACCAGGTCAAGGTAGGCTCTGCTGCTCTGCTGCTCTGCTCCGGACGCCTGGCCCGCTCTCCCCTGCAGCCGGCTGTGCTGCAGAGATGGGATATTTAGTACCGGGCTGGTCGCTGTGCTCGGTGTGAGGGGAAGGGGCCCCAAAGGGGACACGGGTCCCCCCTGCCAGCGGTTCTAGTGGGTCCCTGAGTGCTCTGCTCTGAGCAGGCCAAGCCAAACGCACCCTCTGCCTCTGACCAGCTGGTGGCATTGAGGACACCGGTAAAACCAGGACATTTGATCTGGTCACTTGCAGGAGGTGCTGGGCGATTCTCTCGGCGTGGTGGGTTTGCAGCTCTGCCGGTCCCTCGCAGGTCTCTCGGGGACCTGAGGCCCTCTGGCTCTTCTGGGGCTGCAATGCTTCCTTTGTGGTTAACCAAAATCAGAGACTCTGGGGGATGCTGTCAGGGCGTGCGAGGAACCAGCGGCCGGTGTTGGCTAATGGCTGTGGTCACGGCAGGGCTGCTGCGGAGGCGCTGGGCCCTTGGTGCTGCTCCCGGGGGAGGCAGGGCTGCGCGGGCTGTGGCAAGGGCCCCAAACTGAACCCCCTCCTGGGAGGGGTGCAGTCGCGTGTGCAGGAGGGGTGGAGGTGTCTCAGGGCCTGGGAACGGGGAAAAAACCAGAGCATCTCTGAGCCCTGCCCACACAGAGCCACGCAGGGAAAGGGCCACCCCGGACTGTGTGCAGGAGCACGGGGTGGTTGCTGAGGAGCTCTCCCACCAGCAGCACCGACACCGTGCATGTGCCAGGGCCCCGGGCAGGACTGAGCCCTGATGCTCCTGGCCGTCCCTCCGCGGTACCCGGCAGCTTGAGTTGTGCCGGGCTTTCACCAGGCTTTGTCTTCCTGCACAGAACATCCTGGGGCTGCAGGGAATCCCTCGGCAGTTTTTCCTGCAGGTCTATGAAACACTACGGAGGATCGGGGAGACCAGGTCAGCACCATCCCTGCGCCTGCCCTGCTCCATCCCCCTGCAGCGCGGGGTCTCGGGCTCTGCTGCTTCGCTCCTCTCTGGTCACACCAGCACCGTAACACAAGTGCTTGTTCTCAGCCATGTCCATTTGAGCTGGAAATTTGAAGATGAGAGAGCACGCAGGCTACCAAGTTGCCCACAAAACCTTTAGCATCGTACTGATGACTGGGGGACATCCCCTCCTCCATCACCTGCTGCCTCTGAGGGAGGCAACGCGTTTTGCCAGGGGTGCGGAGGTGCCGGCAGTGTCCCTGCCAGCCGCCGTGCGTGTCCAGGCACATGCTCTTCCTCTCGCGGGGCTTTGCAGTAGCTCTCCCCGTGGCCGGCAGCGTGTTTGGGCTGACACTGATGCGCCCTGTTGCAGGGCTGGGGACGCTGTCCTGGGGCTGGCCTGCCTGGCCGCGCTGGCAGGGCTCCGGGCGATGAAGAGCCACCTGCCCCGAACTGCCCGTACGGAGCCGCTGGCTGCCAGGGTCAGCTACCTGATCGTCTGGACCGCTGCCACGGGTGCGTTGGCCATCCCTTGCCCTCTCCCTTCCTGCCGCCATCCCTCCTGGGTCTCGTCTCTTCTGGGCAGGGAAGAGACAGCCCAAAACTAGTAAATCCCAGTTCGGCAGGCACTGAGACCTGGAGGTGGGTCAAGGAGGACAAAGTCCCAGGGATGCTCCTGGTGCTGTATGTGCCCCTTCCTGAGGCTTGGAAGAGCTCAGCAGCCTGGGTACCCACCTCCTGCGGTCCCTCCCGCTGCCCTGGGCTCCACGTTTATCACGGTTGCTCTCTCTGCTGCAGCACGCAATGCCCTCGTAGTCCTGTTTGCTGGCCTGGTTGCTTACTCCTTCCAGGTGATGGGCTCCCAGCCGTTCATGCTCACCGGCATCTTCCCCCAAGGCCTCCCTGCCTTCCGGCTGCCGTGCTTCTCCATGACTGCACCCAATGGCACCATCCCCTTCAGGAGCATGGTGGAGGTGGGTGCCAGGCTGGCTGGTGGAGGCTGAGCTCCCCGCAGGCTGCTCTCTCCTTACTCCTGCGTTTGCTGGCTCCCCATGCAGCGGGAGGAGGCTCTGCTGCGGGGTGACCCTCGTCCCGCGCTGGCAACGCTCACTGCGTCCTTCCCTCCCAGGACATGGGGGTCGGGCTGGCCGTGGTCCCGCTCATGGGCCTGCTGGAGACCGTTGCGATTGCCAAGGCTTTTGGTACGGCTGCACCAGGCTCCTGCGCCTGCAGGGCGG